TATGGGAGAAAAAAAAAGAAGTAATGAATTAATTTAAGGAAAAAGACCCTAAGTAATGGATTAATGTAAGGAAATTATTGCTCAGTCTTTGCAAGGATCAGTTGGATTGATTTTCTTTTGTCCTGCACATTTCCATAGAACAGACCAGAGAATCCTGGAATGGTTATTACTTTTCCAAATGAAATGGGAACAGCTGCTCCCTCGTCTCTTCTTCAAAGGAAATGCTTGGTGATGTGGACCTGAAATTATTACAGTACAGTTCTTTTGGATACATTTCTTTCTCAGACACCTTTAGGAATACATAAAGTAATACAAAGCATCCTCAGAGTCAATGCTAATCATCAGAAGGAATTTTATTGACCAGGAAATAGCCTGGGGACAGAGAAACTGCTGCTTCCTCTCTCTGCACAAACCGTTTCTGGTCAATACTCAGAATTCTGCATCTTTGTGACAGCTTGACATCACAGGTGAGAGATTTACAACACCTGCACAGAACACAGACTTGTTTCCAGGGATAAATTAAAAGGGACCAAACCAGCAAGACCGGAGGTTTGTGAGTCTTGTACTACATTCAGGCAATTCACCAAATTTCTCAAGGCTTAAAAAAAAGGAGTTGTTTTAAGCAAGAATTTTGAGTGTGACTTTTTTGGGAGGGTGAGCCTGGGGTGGGTGTTGAGACAGGAAACAGGGAAGCTCCAGCAAGAATCTGCTCTTAAAAAGGTCTTTTCAAAGCAATATATAAAGGACACGGTGTGAATCTGTCCTAGAACCAGAATCTCTCTTAAGGAGCTCTGACGACTTCTGTTGCTTCCCTCTACCGACCTCCAGTGTCCATGCTGAGGCAGAACGCTTGGATGAAGGAAAAATCAGCACAAAATTTCAGATCCTTTGATTAGTAAAGGGACATATCCCTCTGCAGAGTTAAACAGCATGAATAAACGATTAAATATTAAATATATTTCAAGTCAGAGAATTCTGTGCAAGTCTGAGGTGAAAACAAGTTGTTTGTAGCCTCACTGGTTATCACTCTGCAGCATCTTACCTGATCCTCTTCTGGGGAGGCTGAAGGAGAGGAAGAACAGGAATGCAATCACCAACAAGAGGAAAAATGCTCCCTATCCAGTCTATAATAAAGAGTTTGGGTAATAAAGTGGGGCATTAGGGGGAACATTAGAGAGAGAGAGGAATGTGAAACAGCTACAGCATCAATGACACCATCAACTTATTGATTGCAGTGACAACTTCTGTCAGGGTCCCAAGTTCATGTAGGTGAAAAGGATCTGTGTTCTTCCAGGGCCCAACTGGGACTGAAGCAGTGGAGATCTGAAGAAAACACCATAGTGGAAGAGGAAAACAATGCCCAGCTGAGTAATAAGAAGGTACAAGGCAGGAAGAAGTGACTCAGTGGTTTCTCTGCTCTGTTCTAGAACATTTTGTTTTCTCATGCTTCTCAACAACTGCTTTTTTCTGTTGTTGGTTTAATGTGTCTCCTGATGGATTCCAAACAATCCACATCTAGGCTGGAATGATGAGGTGGCTGCTGGCTGGGAGAAGATCCATGTGATGAGATTTCAGTTCAGCTGCGTCACAGACTGTTCCCTCTTATCCACACCAATGCCAGTTGCTGTTTCTGGAGATCCAGAGCTGGAATTCTGGGTGTTGGGGTTTCTTTTTGCTGTTTAAACGACTGATAATTGGCACTGTGCCTCCCTCCTATGGCTTCCTGGGGGCTGGGACAAGAGGCAGCTCTGGACACAGCTCGGGGCTCTCACTGCTCTGCAGTTGGAGGCTCTTCCTCGGCCTCCTGCTTCTCCGGCTGCGATTCTGGCGGGATGAGGAACTGCACCTCCTCAGTGCTGATGGCCACTTTGTCAGGCTGCAGCCAACGCTTCAGGTGCTCCAGGGTGCTGAGGGGACAGCAGAGACACACAGTGAAGCTAGGGACAGACAAAGCCTCACAGGAACACATGAAAGAAGCGACAGGAAAATCCTCAACATCTATTTCCTGCCGCTCTGCAGGTTCCCACAGGTGAGGGCTATCATGGGACTGATCCATGTGCCAGAGGAGCAAGGGGAATCTGTTGTTCTACAAAGCCATCCTGCTGCACTTGGACTTTTTAAACTGTGGCTTAAAGACTTCTATGCTCTGATTTTCTCAGCGTCAAGGACGTGCTGAGGGTTCTTTTCACCCTTTACATCCTTGAACTTCTGTGTCTCTGTAGCCAAATACTCCAGCTCAATCAGACTGTCAGGGAGCAGGTTTAGATTGGATATTAGGAAGAAATCCTTCCCTGTGAGGGTGGTGAGGCACTGGCACAGGTTGGCCAGAGAATTTATGGCTGCTCCATTCCTGGAAGTGTTCAGGGCCAGGTTGGATGGGGCTTGGAGCAACCTGGGCTAGTGGAAGGTGTCCCTGCCCATGGCAGGCGGTGGAACTGAATAAGCTTTAAGGTTCTTTCCAACCCAAACCATTCTGGGATTCTATGAATTTTGCACTTTCTGGGCTGGAAATCAAAAACTAGGTACTAAAATTCTTTTCTCAACCTTTAAATACAGTAGGAGGAGCCCATAAAAGCTTGGGTTTAAACATAAATCACACTGAAGTTAACTAGCTAAAGAAAGAAAGTTTCTAAGAGATTAAGAAACTTTTGCCACAGGGGAAGAGGTGATCTCTCCTCACTGCCTTCCTTGTTACCTCTCATCAGTGTCGTGGCCTTCTACGTAACATTCAGCATCAAACTTCTCCTGCAGGAATCTGTCCCAGCATTCCTTCTTGGCCTGGGAGAGAGTGTGCAGCATCTCCTTGGAGGTCACCTCCTGGGACAAGCCTTTGATCCTCATCAGTCTTCTCTCTGTGAGGAGAAGGGTCTTGGTTAGCTTTGTTGTTTTTCTGAGGGGGGAAAAAAGAGAAGGATCTGGACTTCTATAGCAAAAAATAAAGTAAGTTACATTAACTTTGCAAGACTAATTTCTTTTTTAGAAGTAATTTCCTCCCTGTATTTCAACCCTACAGGACTCTATTTCTTATATGTATCTACAAGATGATATTTTTAGGTGATGCTTGTGGAGGAAAATGAGGTTTATGCAATGAGTCAGCTCTGCCCATTTTGGGTTTTAATAACTTTCACACTGCTCAGTTTCCAGGAAATCCCACGGGAGGGTACAGCTCTCACAGGCACTGAGCTCCCACAATTTCCATGCAAATTGGGATATAAATCACACTAATTGCAGTCCTTTGTGCACTGTGAAGCTGCAATGAAGGCAAGATGGAAGCTCTGGCAGAAACAAAAGCTTACAATGCCACTGCTGCCACCCATTCCTCCTGGCCTGTTGCTGTCTGCAGCCTCACAGTTATTGTGAGGAGCTAGGCCCAATTTCCTTAGCTTTTACTTGATAAAAAGTTCCTTTCCGTGGCAGAGCTGAGGAAGCTCTGACGGAGTGTCACATTTCCACTGCTGCACTTGCAGAAATCAAGTTAAATAGTTATATACAGTTGGGAGGTATCTGGCCAGAGCACTGTCACCTCAGCCACATAAACAGAGCCCCACCTGCCATCAGACACCTCAGACACTCACCCAGGGATGCTAAATACACCTCTGAGTCATTCAGGGGTGCCCAGGGCTTCAGGCTGGTTTGGGAAGAGCCATCAGATGTGCTGCCCTGGCTTCCTCCCTCAGAGTAGGAATCCATGAAGGAGTCTGTGAAAGCATTGCTGGTGTCCTTCTGCTCAGGATGTGGCAGGCAGGAGCAGATCTCAGCCCAGAGGTCCTCGCTGGACCTGGTCACCACGGAGTCCACACTCTCGATCATTCTCATCGTGGAGTCCTGAGATGGGGGGAAGAAATGATGAGCACAGCGCAGAACCCTCTTCCCAGGCCTCCTCCATCCACCTCCCTCTGCCCAGCAGACGTTCCAGGGAATTCCCATCGCACCGGGAAGCCTCCCAGGGGAGCAATAACACTCTCCAGCAGAGACCCTGCCAGCCCCTTGGGGACCCGCAGGGAAGCAGAGTGCGATCCCCCGCGGCACAGCTGCCCCTTCCCACCGCCGCTCCGGGACTCCCGAGCCGCTTCCCCGGGACACGGAGGGACACACACGGGGGATATGGAGGGACACGGTGGGTCACGAAGGGCACACGGGGAGGATACGGAGGGACACGAAGGGCACATGGGGAGGATGCGGAGGGACATGGAAGGGACACGAAGGGCACACGGGGGAGATACGAAAGGACACGAGGTGGACACAGGGAGGACACGGTCAGCCCCGCCCCCCCTCGGCCGCCGCCACAGCACTCACGGGACGTCACAACAGCTTCACCCCGCGAGTCTTCCGCCTCCAGACCTGACCAATCAGCGCGCTCCATCCGGCACAACCCGGGCGCCTATTGGTCGGAAGGGGAGAG